GTACTTCTCCAATGAGACAAAAATCTTTTTATATATACTATTACCCTCTGATAGCTTCACATTTCAAATACTCTGAAACCAGCAAAGGAAACTATAAACATCTGTTGGCCCTGTGACCATGCCTTCTCGGAGTTTACCTGTAATTGTGCTTTTGCATTTGAAGAGAGCTACAGTCTTAGGTTTCCTCTAGATGGAGACCTAACAGTAGGGACCACAAATCCCATCCATAAAACTCCATCCCATAATACTTGTGATCAGTCCCATTCCTATTTGGAGGGCTGTGGTTTATAATTCTAAAAAAAATTTTATAGTTAAAAACGAAGAGATTTTAGTGTCACCTTGTATGCAGCCGAGAATCTCTTCCATAAAACAGCTGATAGTTCAATAATGCGATGAACTGGCACCTTAAGAAGCAAAATTCCTACTATCAGGGAAATGTTAATGCACCAGGAGATCTTTTGGGTGGGTTCTAAGTGTTACAAGACGAATAACAATAAAAATAGTAACAACAAACAGCTGGTAATTCTTGAGCACTTAACTGTATGGCAGACATGGTGCTAACTGTTGGGACACGGTTTACTCATCCTGTATCAGAGATGAGGAAATTCTCTGGCTTCTCCTAGGTCATGCGGTTGACGGTGGGAAAGCTGGGTTCCAGCCCAAGCACTAGAAACCGGGGCCTCTGATGGTGACCATCCTAGTATACACTTTCCTACTGAGCCCTAATCAGCCTGCTTTAATCCTCAATTAGTCTACATTCTCCCTTTGTGGACAACCAGAACACGCTCCTACCTTTCCCCATCCCCTGATGTAACGACAAGAATATCAATGGAGCAGCCACAGATGCTACTGTCCTCCAGCTTATCACACAGCGACCAAGGCGAGGACGGACGTCTCTGCTTCCGTGGTATTAAGTCTCTGAAATGGTTTGAAAAGACCTACCAGATACCTGAAGGTTTTCCTTTCTTCGGACCAACTTCTCCCACGTCCTTCAACCATGCATGCTAGGACGGAGTTTCCAGTTCTTAGGACTCCTGTGGTCTCTCTCTTCTACACATATTTCCGCTTGCAAATGTCTTTTAAAAATGTGACCATCAGACATGAACGCCGTCATCCACACGCTTCCGAAAGGTCTGTTAAAGCAAGACGAGAGGCCCAGAATGGAGTCGCTGATGCTCACTAGGCCCGGCAGCCCTGAACCACGCCCGAAGCGCCACTTCTGCTCCCCCGAAAAGGAATCTCCAGTCTGTCAACCCGGATTCCGCCGAGGGGCCCTTGCTAGGTCGTCTGCCTGACCTCGGCCACGCCCGAAAGGCAAGTGACCTCGCCGTGACCAACCTGCGTGTCGTCGGGTCACGCGACGGCTCTGTTCCCGCTCCCTTCGGGCTGCAGGTGTCTTTCCTGCCGTCCAGCCCCCAGGAGCTCCTTTCCACCTGCCAGACCGGAAGTTACCCGACTCGAAGCAGGTTTTGTCCGCATGAACTCCGGAGTCTGTAACGTGCCTCAGGTGTCTCTCTTCCCGGTCCCCGAGACAGAAGAGGGACCCCACGGAGCCCGGAGCGACCAGCAGCAGCCCAGGCGCAGGCACCCAAGCAGCCCCTCGAGCCCGCGGCTCCTCGCGCTTCTCGCCACCTCCCGAGGTCACGCACGTCCCCGTCGGATCCCCTCTCTTCGGCTTTTACGGCAAAGCTCTCAGGCTTTACCGGACCATTTCTTTCTCCCAAGTGGACCCAGCAACTGGCCGCGGTCGGACTGGGCTTGACTGAAAACCGGATGGGGTCCCACGTCAGACGCGTCCGACTTCAAAGCCGGACGACATTCGGGCTCACACAGGTTCCGGCTTAGAGAACCCGACTGGGTACCCCGTCAGACGCATCTGACTTCAAAGCCGGACGACATTCGGGCTCACACAGAGAACGGGATTGGGTCCCCCAGCAGACTGGGTCCGACTTCAAAGCCGGGCGACCTTCGGGGTCACACCACTGGGTCCACGTCAGACTGGGTGCCACTTAAAAACCCGACAACGTTCGGGGGTCATACAGGTTCTGGCTTAGAAACCGGACTGGGTCCCCTGTCAGACGGGTCCGACTTCAAAGCCAGATGACGTTTGGTGTCACAGTGGTTCCGGCTTAGAGAACCGGACTGGGTCCCCCAGCAGACTGGGTCTGACCTCAAAGCCGGACGACATTCGGAGTCACATAGGTTCTGGCTTAGAAACCCGACTGGGTCCCCTGTCAGACCCGTCCGACTTAGAAGCGGAACTGGGTCCAGGGAAGAACTGGGCCCGACGTGGAAACCAGACCGAGTTCAGGGTTGGACTGGGTCTGCTTTCAAGACTGACTGGTTCCGGGGCCTGAGCGGGTTCCCCGTGCGGCCTCCGGCGGGAAGTTCTGCTTGAAGCTGAGGGAGCAGGGGAACCTCACCAAAGACAATGTTGAGTTACGGGGGCCGTAGGGGAACTTTCGGGGCAGATAAGCTTATCCGTTTATGAGGCGCCCTACAGAAAAGGTCGTCTCGCTCAGGTACTCAGCCTTGAGGCTGGGGGGAAACGACTTTTCCTAGGCGGACGTGTCTGGCGACCAGGCCGCGAGCGCGGGAAGTCGCGCTCACCCCGAAGCCCGCAGTCGGGATCCTGGGAAAACTGGCGGAAGTGGCCAAGGGTAAGAATTCTCCCCCAAGGACGCTCTTCCGTCTGCCTACCACGCCTGGTCGGTAGGGGAGGGCAAATTCCCCTTCGTCCCTTCCTTTCCAAATCCAGACCAGTGGGCAAAAACAAAACAAACAACCTCCCCAAATCGAAAAACCAACATTAGATCCTCAGGTTGGAACTCATGAATTTGCTTTTAGTTACGTTAGTTGTCGATCCTTTCCCTGTTTGTTTGTCTGGTTTGTGGCTGCGATGAAGTTCTAGAACCTAGGTGAGGTTCGGTGGGGTGAGGTCCGGAGCCGATGACCAAGAAAGAATTCTTGAGACATCTTTGGTGCAAAATGGTGGTTTATTAAAGCACGGGGACAGGACCCGTGGGCAGAAAGAGCTGCTGCTCCGCTATCCTGAGGAGTGGCTGATGATATACACAGGAGTTGGGTAGGTGAGGACAAAGGGGGTGTTCAGAAGGGCTATCGGGGTAAAGAAGACTATCAGGATATTGAAGGCCTGGTTACTCTCAAGCCAAGGCCATCTTTCCCTCTAATGAGGCGCTAACATGAAGACAATTGGGAGTCTCCTGGTGGAATGTCACATTCTTGCTATCAAGCATCCTTGTTAGTGAGATTTAGGTTTAGAAGAAATTTAACTTTATTTACATTTCCTTCTACCTCAGCCTCCTTCAGTTTTGTTTATGGAGGAGAGGGCGACATCAGGGCTTGAGGAACAGAGTCTCTGGAAATTGAGCTGTTGATAAGATAGCTGCTTTGTTGTAAATCACTGGGACATTTGTAAACTGAGGGGGACTCCTGTCTTGCAGGATTGTGGTCTCTGCAAGTTAACTATTTGTTTTTCTTTTAGGGCAGCGAGGGGCGCCTGAGAAATGTCACACATATTACCGAGGGGAGCGGGTGGAGAGGGGGGGCAAGGTGCCAGCTTTTGCTTTCTCCTCAGCCAGCCTTCTGCTCCCTCATCAGCTGGAGAACTTGGCTTGGCATCTGTCAGGTCGGTAGCTCCAAAACTATGGCCAGGCTGCTTCTCTTTACCTTTTCACAGGTCAGAGAGAGAGGGAGCGTAACCCCCGAGGGCACTGGGTTTATTATGTATTGTTTCTCCTATGACCTTCCGGCTTCTTCTCTCCAGACCTGTAAAATGGTCCAGAGCAGACACGATGATTTCTAGCATTCAGTGACTTAAGTTCCGTTTACTGTGGCTAAGTTGTTTCGTGTGAAGGGTGCCCTTCAAGTGTCCTCCAGCATCCCAGGTGAGACACAGGAAGCCATCTTGCGTCCAGAGCTTCCGTTAACGTGGTATCTGGCGAGCTGTTAGGCTCCGGTTTGGCTGAGTCGCTCGGGAGACCACAGCATCCTCTAGTGGTCAGAGTTAAGCTTCCAGACGCGCGTACTCTGAACACGACGAGAAATTATCCTAACCTCAGGTGTCAGGCAACTGTGTTGGGACGGGTTTTGATGCACCTGATACAGCTCAGGTTTTTTTAGGACCCCGCTCACGTCTCCATTCTCACCTAGTTCTCTGTAAGGGCTCAAGAATTCAGGCTGCTTTTCCCTCTCTTTTTTAGTGATTACAGACACTTTTTCTATTGAGGTACTTCTTATTTCTACCTTATTTGCTGTCCCTGAGCACATAGGTCTTTTAATATGAGGAAGTTACCTGACGTTCCTACAGAAGAAATAGGCAAAGAATAATCCACCTGAGGTAATTGTGGTTTAGACGAAGCATTAGATTTTTGGGTCCACCCTGGATTAAAAACCTCACTCTGCTAACTTGTTTGCCCGTGCTGTTAGTGAGGTTACTGAACTTTTCTAAGTTGACTCACAAGATAAGGATAACCTTACAGGGTTATTGTGGCTCTCATACCAAGCCAAGTCAGCTACACAGTCCTCGTACAACAGATGCTCCATTAAATCCCAAGGAAACCCTAAAGAACTTATTTCAGTCAGCGAAAGCTAGCAGATAACGTGTTTCTGGACTGAGAGTTTTCCAAGTATTCCTTCTGATGCTAGTTTAATTCTCTGTGGGATTATTGTCCTCATGACCAGCTGGGTCCTGTCAGTCAGTAACTGTAATCACATTTCCTGAGATAGTTGTCAGTATGTGAGGAAGGGAATGGGGAAGGAAAAAGCATCATGGCGGAAACCTTGTCCAAGATTTCAGAATGACTGTATTTTGTAAAATCTGGTCTGAGTTTGTCTCAGTCACCTGACCCCAGTGTAATCAAATATACCTTTGAGGGTAAAGCATTCAGGAACAACAGGAAGTATTTAGATGCATTTTATTCAACAGTCAGGCCTGCTAGGCATTGTGGTGACCACAGGGGATTTTAGAACCTTGGTTTTCAGCAAGGTCCAGATTTTTGAATGAAGACAGGGGTCTGACGCTTCCTGTAAAAGAGGTTAAACAGCAGATGAAAAAAATGACTACGGGAGGAAAACAATGAAAAAACATCAGCTTTATTTAAAATAGAAAGGTTTCAGGGACGCCTGGGTGGCTCAGTTGGTTGGACGACTGCCTTCGGCTCAGGTCATGATCCCGGAGTCCCGGGATCGAGTCCTGCATCAGGCTCCCAGCTCCATGTGGAGTCTGCTTCTCCCTCTGACCTTCTCCTTGCTCATGCTCTCTTTCACTGTCTCTCTCTCAAATAAATAAATAAAATTTTAAAATAAAATAGAAAGGTTTCAGATTTTTATCCCATTTCTCTGCCTTTCATTCATTTATGCTTTCACTTATTCATTAATTCATCAAATATTCACAGACACTATTTCTTACATGTAATAAGGATACAAAAGAAAAGAAAAATGTCTGTCTTTACAGGTTTACAGATCTACTGTGGCATTACAGTAAACCTCTGAAGTCAAACTCTAATTCATCATTACTTCTTTTTCTCCTAATATCTTTGTTCTATCCACAAGGTTTCTATCTTAGGTGGTGCCTTGGCTACTACAGGATGTTCTAATCAACTGATCTTTTGCTTTAAAACTCTGGGGGTTAATACCTGTGAGATCTCACAGAAGGAAATCATGTCTATATCCTAACCGATAACTGCCAGGTCTGAGCATCCTCCCTTCCAGATAAAAACTTCTCTGCTCCCCAGGACACCACCTTTCCCAAACCAGTTTTCTTTTGTGTTAGCTAAATATTCCTAAATCCTGTAATTGTGCCTCATGAGGTTGTTTTCAGAGCTCATTCTCTCTCTTTTTTAATTTTTTAAACCATCCCTTCCTTGAATATACTGGTTTATAGAAATTCTTCGATTTCTCTGTTTCTTGAGGACATCTGACTTCCATATATCTATGCATGTATTTATCTGGACCTTGATGATTTTCTTTTTTTATTTATATATTTGACAGAGAGAGACACAGCAAGAGAAAGAACACAAGCAGGGGGGGTGGGAGAGGGAGAAGCAGCCTTCCCGCTGGGCAAGGAGCCCGATGCAGGACTCAATCCTAGGACCCTGGGATCATGACCTGAGCCAAAGGCAGCTGCTTAACGACTGAGCCACCCAGGCACCCCGATGATTCTTCATTTTAAGAGTTTTTAATGTTTTGTTATTCCATAGGTATTATCCATACATAATCCTTATGTCTGAGTTGTTTACCATACATAGCACAAACATCTAAACATAGTACACAGGTTGACTTACCTTCTATAGCTCTGTTGTCCATCCCTATTTAGCTGTTTAAATTCACATCAGTGAAAGTTACATAATATTAAAAATTCAGTTTCTTAATTGTACTAGACACATTTTAAGCACTGGTGGCAAGGCTAGTGGCTTCCGTACTAGACAACAGAGTTATAGAACGTTTCCATCTTTGCAGAAAGTTCTACTAGAGAGTGCTGGCCTATAGAATGGAATTTGCCAGTACAGATTCCCGGAGAAGACACAAAGAGAAAAAAGTCCTTACTGACTATATCTGACAAGCACATAATGCTCAAGGAGATGTAAGCCTTTGTCCACCTATCTCAAAAAAACCCCAAGAACTAGGGTCAGAACCTGACTCTAGTTAACTTGACAATCGATTTTGGGAGGCTTCTAATGGGCAGTAGAGAGAAAGGTGGTATGGTGCATCATAAGTATTTTACACTAGAAAAAGCCATACTTTCTCTCTAGACCTGTTTTCTTTTTCTTTTTTAAATCAATTAATTTATTTGAGAGAGAGTGGAAGAAGGGACAGTTGGGAAGGATCTTCAAGCAGATGCCCCTGCTGAGTGTGGAGCCCAACTTGGGTTCTGTCCCAAGACCCATGAGTTCCTGACCTGAGCCAAAACTGAGTTGGACATTCAACTCACTGAGCCACCCAAGCGTGCCTAGACTTGTTTTCTTATCTGAGAAATACAGGAAGAAAAGCTACGTTTTCTGGCATTCAAATGTTCTTCCCATATTTAAATATTTTTGAAAAAATAGAATGAGTAAGCAGGACAGGTGGGTTTTAAAGGCTAAGTGAGTGGGGTGGCTCAGCTGTATGCTCATATTTTCCTAATTTCATTTTAAGCATTGGGCCTTTTGGTCTTGGAACTTGGAAATTTTCTAAACCTCAAGGCTGTTATACTGCTTCTCCTCCCCTTGGATGGAAATACAATGTTTGACCTTTATGTCATCAGCCTAGGTCATGAGAAAATTAACAAGTGTTTTCTAGTTCCTTTTACAAATCTTTATTGTGGCAATAAATTCACCAGAAAGTAGAACACCTAATATTTGGGTCTTAATACTTGAGGATATTAAATCTCTCTCCCTGGGGCCTTATTTCAAAAATCCTTGCTAGCACTCAGGATTTTCTGACGTAATTTAAAGCAGACCCCGAAGAGGGGTCATGTTATCGGGAATTTATACTATGGAATAATGGAAATGCGTGCAGTCATTTGAGTCTAAATCAAAGTCTTTAATGCTAAATCAGTTCTTAGAATAATAGAGTTTTCTAGGCTACTTGTGGAATCTCTTTTATTTGTTTTGATCATTCTACACCTTTCTTTAACCTGGGATGTCTTTGCGGTGCTACCAAAATTCTGAGCCCTCTTTAAGTGACATCCTTTTCATGAATCCTTTCTTGACCCTTTCAGTACTAAGGAATCTGTGTCTCTCCTTCACTCTGGTAGTACTTTCCTCACACCTCATTTGATGGCACTTGTCCCAAGTTACCAGAAGCTGCCTTATTTGAACTTATGACCTATTTTCTTTTACTCAAAAGCACAAGGAAAGCAGAGGAAACCAGCATGATGCTGGGCACAAGTTAGGTTTTCAGGAGCAGAGGAAAATAGAAAATTTGTGGCAAATCTGCTTCTCTGAGGGCATGAATTTGATTCCCAGCATCTACCTATGGTCACTTCAGAAAATGAGATTCATTGAGGCTGGTTCTCATCTCCATAAATGAAAATGTTACAAAAGTATGTTTTTGGTCACCTGATCCATATAATTCATATTTGCATTTTTGAAGGCTTTGGTAAACACAGTCATTACCATCACCAAGAATGGTTTTTTCAAGATTTTATTTTTAAGTAGTTCCTACATCCCACGTGGGGCTCAGACTCACAACTGCAAGATCAGTCAAGAGTCACATGGTCTAGGGGCACCTGGGTGGCCCAGTGGGTTAAGCCTCTGCCTTTGGCTCAGGTCATGATCTCAGGGTCCTGGGATAGAGCCCTGCATTGGGCTCTCTGCTCAGTGGGGAGCCTGCTCCCCCCCCATCTCTGCCTGCCTCTCTGCCTACTTGTGATCTCTCTCTCTCTGTCAAATAAATAAATAAAATCTTAAAAAAAAAGAAAAAGTCACATGGTCTAGCAACTGAGCCAGCCAGACGGCCCTGTGATTTTTTTTTTTAAAGATTTTATTTATTTGACACAGAGATCACAAGTAGGCAGAGAGGTAGGCAGAGAGAGAGAGGGGGAAGCAGGTTCCCCTCTGAGCAGAGAGCCCAATGCGGGGCTCGATCCCAGGACCCTAAGATCATGATCTGAGCCGAAGGCAGAGGCTTAACCCACTGGGCCACTCAGGTGCCCAGCACTGTGATTTTTTAAAGGTATTTTGGGTGTCTTAGCTTTTTAAAAATCTAGACTATCTACTGATTTGCTATTAAAGCATGGAATTTTGTTATACAAGTGATTTTTGAAAGTATTAATTCAGAGAACCATTCAAACACTTTACTCTATTCCACTATCTTTTCCTTAACACATTTATCTAACACTATGTTATTAATACCTTTCGCCCTCTTGTTCATATTTTTATTGGAGTGCCTCTCTCTCCCTTACATCCTAAACAAAGCCTCCAAACTTAAGAATTTCTTAAAACCCTTATCATTAGTGTAATAATTTATTCACTTTTCAAAATCCTAGCAGGAATAATTAGTTTTTTTAATATTGTGCTCTCTGAGCACTTTGCTCTTATTTCCACTGACTACATTGTAATTAGCATTGAGTGTAACCAAATCGAGACTTGAAACATGTTGGGCTTCCTTCTGTATCTCACAAATACTTGATCTGGTACCTGACTTTAAAGCACAGTTGAAACAGCAAGGATTTGGACCCATGTCTGTCACTTACTGCAAGTTACTTAAGCTCAGTCTCAATTTCTTCATGTTTATAACAGGCTTAGTATTCTCTGCCTCAGAGATTTGTGAATATTCAATGCCTTGCCCCATGCCTGACACAGTAAGTGTTGCTTTCTGTTGTAACACACACACATAAACATCTCTGTAGATAATCATACCAGATATGTAATGAGAAGAAGAGATTGAGAATTATTTTTGGAAAGATGAGATGTTTTGTTTCTCTCATGGTAAGATTAATGTTATTGGTAAATTGATTGGAACTTAGAGGGATAAGATACATGAAAATTTGAAGACAACTAGCTTAAAACTATGTTTTAAAAGACATTTGAGTTTGTACTCACTTATTTTGAACACATAACACACATTCATTAGAATACGTTTCTCCATCAGTCCCACAGACAGGATCATAGATCTTGGTACATGCATTTGTTTCAGTGTTACATTTAGCCTAAAAATGGAATTAAACAGAATTATCTTCCATCATTTAGCTTTCTTTGAGTTTATAGTGAAATCTCTAAAATGGTTTTCACTTCCTTGGAGTTGGTCAGCTTAAAGATGGAAGTATGGTTGTGGGCCTGGGGGTAGTGATACTGAGTGTCTGAGAGGAAGAAGCCAAGGTTTGGAATCAGAATGCTGATTGCATGTAATGCCTCTGCCGTTTACAGACTGTGAGACGCTGGCAAATCTCCTTGTGTCTCCAAGCCTCGGTCACTTCATCAGCACAATGGGGAGGATATTATCACTTCCACACCTGTCTCATGGTGGCATCGTGAGGTTTAAATAAGGTGAGTGACATCATGTTCAAGTTTGCAATGATGGCAGGTCAATGATGGTTCCTCTCGGGTCAGCCACACTGTGGGCATGTCTTCCTTGCACATTGTGGTCCAGTCACACTGCCCTTCTCTTAGTCATGTGACAACACCATGTGCTCTCTGCCCTGGGAGCCCTTGCACAGGCTGTTTCCTGGACATCCGTAAGAACTTGCAGTTATGGAATGGCTGTTACAGGCCAGGCACTTTCCTAAGTGCTTTTATGTATTACTCTATTTAAATCTTAGAACTATCTTATGAATTTTTTATTATACTCTTCTTCCAGTGAAGACAGTGAAGCACAAAGAGATTAAGTCACCCAAGGCTACACAGCTGGTAATTCCAGATCCAGGATTCAGACCCACTTTGTCTAGGTCCTGAGCTTTGGCTTGTACCCACTTCAGCCTGCTACTCCTATCTGTTGGTTATATTTTGCTGACATTCACTTACCCTTCATGGCTCAGAATATATCTCACTTAGGGGCACATTCTGTGATCTAACCAGGCTTGGTTCCAGACGGTACAAGAATTTCTTAAAACCCTTATCATTAGTGTAATAATTTATTCACTCATCCTTTTGGTTTGCTATCTATCTCCTCACTAGATATAAATGAAAAGGGACATTTCCTCCTCTGATCTTCAAATTTACTGCAGTTAATAAATTTATAAACACAGAACAACAAAAAAGAAAAATTAGGTATAGAATGTTTTTCTAGAGGAAGAACATAGTTTATTATTTTCTTTTGCTCATTAAAAATTAGAGCTCGACCTTGGGGGTTGGGAAAGCTTTATGCCAACATGGTCAAACTGGCTGAAAAGAGGAAGGGCTCCTTGGAGGGAGGTTAAGAAGAGTGCCACCCCAAATCCTTGCCCTACCGGATAGCCTCAGAACGTTCAAAATGCCTCCACAGCAAACATTATATGACGATGTAGAAATTGTCTGGGTATTGGTGCATTTGTCCTTCAGCATAAGCCCTGTGTGGGCACTGCTGTTAAACTCCATACTTTGCAGGTTAAGCGTCACTAGTACCCCACATCCATCCTGACTTCAGGTGAAACTAAAATGTCACAGCTTGACTGTGCGTTGAGTGGAGCAAACAGCTCTAGCCTGACAGATAAAAAAAGTACAGAATATTCCTTACCTCTCTTCCCTCCAAGCCAGCTCTGGTGTTACCTAGAAAACATGAATGAGACACAGGGGGTCAGGTACTAAGTGGGAGAAGCCAGATCTGCTCTTATTTACAATCATCCACTTCCATTGAAGACTATGACTTCTCTGCTGGCTTCTTCTGCTCCCCTCACCCCCCATGTTCTTATTCTTCCACTTCTTCTTCTTCTTCTTCTTCTTCTTCTTCTTCTTCTTCTTCTTCTTCTTCTTCTTCTTCTTTTTTTAAAGATTTATTTATTTGAGAGAGAGAGAGCATGAGCAGGGGAATGGACATAAGGAGAGGGAGAGAATCCTTGAGTAGACATCCTGCTGAACACGGAGCCTGACACAGGGCAAGACCAGGACCTGAGCCAAATTCAAGGGTCAGATACTCAACCGACTGAACCACCCAGGTGCCCTACCCCATCCCTTCTTGTTTCTGCCTTCTCTCAAGGACATCTCACTGGTGTCTAATAACTCCCTGCCTGCTGAAGCCTCAGGAAAATGAAGCAGAAGTTTGATTAGGACCAAAGTATCTCAATTGGACATTTCATGAAAGTTCAACCATTTCTTTGAAAATAGAATTGAGTTACTTACTGCTTGAGATGTGTCAGGCACAGAGCAAATATCTTCTGAATGTTCACTGCCTTCTCGCACCGGTTACTAAACCTTTGATCTTATAATTAGTGATGTAAGAAGTGTCAGCATCTTTAACTCAGTGTATAGATGAAGATGTGGACAGTTTATATGAAAATTTATGAAACAGTTACCACCAGCACCAATCAGGTCTCCTGACACAAAACTTACTTGCAATTACATGTAAGTCGTCCTTAGTAAGTAATGTTAAAAATAGAGCTCCTTTGACATCTCACCATCAGTCCCCAAAGAGCTCTTTCCCTCTGTTAGATTACACTGATTATTAGTCCAATTCACATTTCTTGAATTTACAGATAGATGCTTAAAATTGCCATATTGCATTCTCTAGAAAATTACAAGTCTACTGACACTATATAGGGGTGGTGATTTTGGATGAGCTCATTGAAGGGAAGAGGAACTAACTTGATAGCATCCAAAGGAAGAAACGTTGGTGAGATTTGATTCTGATACCAACAATTTCTGAGGTGATCTAGATAAAGTGGTAGCTCTTGCTAAGTCAGTTTTATGAGAAGCAACAAGGCACCTCTGGGCTTGAAGAAGCCCCCTAGAATAGGTTCCCGACATTATTTCATTTCATTGGGACCAAAAGATCTGTCCAAGACTAGACTCTAAGTCTAGAATGTAATGAGATCAGTAATCCAACACATCAGAAGGGTTTTACTCAAATCAGAAAATATGCAAAGGCACCTACCAGATAAACTCAACAGGGCCAAAGCACTAAGAAGAAAGATGCTTGTTACCTTCATGGTGAAAGTTCGGTATTCAGAGCTCAGTTGAAAACTGCATTGAACTTACCACTTCTCTTCAGAACCCTGGGACGGGAAGGGTTATATAGTTAGGCTGGCCTCCCAGACACCACCTCCTGCCCTGTCACAGGTCTTTGGTTATTGATTGACTCTGTAGCATAGCCTGGCCCCAAGTTCCAGGAATGTCACTTTCATAAAAAAGGTAAAAGAAACAGCACAGGCCTGCAATGTGCCAGGCCAAGATTCTGTCAGAAAAGTTCTGGTGGTTGGTTAGTTGGTTCTCCCCTTAACTTCCTCTATGACTGTGGGGAGCCCCAGTGGTCTCATCAGTAAGGTGAACTCAAGGGTCGCCTGTGCTCTGTAGCTCTGGATATATAAACAGGTGTGGATATCCAAAAATTGCTCTCTATTGTTTCTTCTTTTCATTCAGCTTTTCCCTGTTTTCTTTTTTAAAGATTTTATTTATTTACTTGTCAGAGAAAGAGAGAGATCAAGAGAGAACGCACAAGCAGGGAGAAGAGCAGGCAGAGGGAGAAGCATGCTCCCTGCTGAGCAAGGAGCCTGATGTGGGACTTGATCCTAGGACCTTGGGATCATGACCTGAGCCAAAGGCAGACGCTTAACCGACTGAGCCACCCAGGCATCCCTAGCTTTTCCCTCTTTTATTCTTTCTCTTTTCTTATGTTCTGTCACTCATTCACAAAGCCCAGTGTTGCTGACCGAGAGACAGGGTAGAGTTGGAGAGGGCTTAGGTCCCTAAGGTGTGTATGTGTGTTCTGGGACTAGATTGGCTGACCAGACACTTACTAGATCTGTGTTCTTGGACAGGTGGTTCATTCGTGCTGTGCCTCACTTTATTCATCTGAGATCTGAAAAAATAATAGCATTTAACTCAAAGTGTTTATCTTTCATTCAAGCACAAATACTGTTCTACCTGTGTAGAACAATATTTGGGAGATGGTTCTCCCTTCTCTCTTGTGTTTCTGCCTATCTTGTGAGGAGAGGCACTGACTGCCTATGACTCAGTTGCTCTTTTCAAGAGTTTGTACAACAAATGGACTTGGAAGGTGGAATAGTGTTTCTCTCTGGAGCAAAGAGATAAAGATAATATCTCTCACCAGTGCAAAGATTAGGTGGGCATGGTGCCCTTTAAAAAAGATTAGGGATTTTTAAAAAGCATGGCATCCTTCTTGTGGAGCACAGTACACTTTCTCTGTAGGTACCACTTGGTTTTCCTCTTGTCATCCTGTAGAAATTGGGGCTTGGGAAACCAGATGACATTGGCATTTTGGCTCTTGTAATTGAATAATTAAGTCCCTTGTCTCTGTCTCAGCAGCCTGTGGCTTCTGCCAGCATCCCTCTAACTGTGGTAGGCTAACTTGTTAGCTTCCAGGTACGGTAAATCTCAGATCTTGCCTAGTCTTGAACTGTGCTCATGTCTGGAGATACATCAGTGAGTAAAAATGACAGTCCCTGCCCTCGTGGAGCTTCCATTTTATTTTATTTTCTTTTTTAATTTTTAAAAAATTTTTAAAAGGTTTTATTTATTTATTTGACAGATAGAGATCACGAGTAGGCAGAGAGGCAGGCGGGGGTGGGGAAGCAGGCTCCTGCTGAGCAGAGAGCCCGATGTGGGCCTTGATCCCAGGACCCTAGAATCATGCATGACCCGAGCTGAAGCCAGAGGCTTTAACCCACTGACCCACCCAGGCGCCCCTCCATTGCATTTTATTTGGGGGAGACAGGCAATAAGAAAGTCATCTGATAATTATAAAGCATATCGGATTATGATAAATATTATGGAGAAAAAGGATAAGGGTGCTGGAGGATCAGGAGAGAGTTGTTATAGATTGGCAGAGAAGGCCTTGCTGATTAAGTCACGTTTGAACAGAGACATGAAGGAAGTGAAGAACTGAACCATGCAGATATCCAAGAACAGGCACTCCAGGCAGAGAGAACAGCGAGGGCAAAGGCTCTTAGGCAAAAACTTGCTTGATCTGTTTGACAAACATCTAGGGCAATGGATAATCTGGCTGGAGCACAGTGATGGAAGGACATCCATCAAGGATGGCAGGGAGGTGAAGGAAACAGTGAGGTCTGAGTGGTAAAGGCTGTATAGGCTGTAGTAAGGACTTTAATTTGGAAGCAAAGGGAAAGCTGTTAGAGAGCTGTGGCACAGGAATAACATGATATGGCATACATTGTAAAAGGTTATTTTACCTTCTTAAGAGAATAAACTTAAAGATAAGGGCAGCCTCAGGAAAACCAACTGCTGGGCTCTTATACTCATCCATCCAAGAGCTGATAGTGGAAGTGGAAGAAAGAGGTTGACTCTGTAGTTCACGTGAACTTAATACATGTAAAGTGTTTACAACAGTTTCAGCACATGGTAAACACTTAGAAATATTACCCATCGCTAGAATTTCATTGTTGTTATTTTTTCAGGATTTATAATGCTGTTCCATCTAACTGGAATGTTTTTCTTTACCATTATGCATGAATGAATTCTTCCTTTGTCTTTAAGGTTCACTTCAAATGTTGTTTCTTATTGGAAAACTTCTGCTCCTTCTGGGCTGCCCTGGTGTTTTGAATGTGGTTGATGCAACACATAACACATTGTTGAAACTGTGTATGATGGGTTCCCCCATCTTCCATTTATGCTTCAACCTTCACCATCCTAGCTTCCTCCTGCCTCTCTACTGCTGCTGAACTTGCTTGTTTTGGTCCCTAATTCAAATCAGTTAATTCCATGGACAATTTTTCAGAACTCACGGCTTCTAATTCTTCACACTTGATCACACTCAATATCATTTCTTTTCTTTTAGGTTTATTTATTTGAGAGAGGGAGAGAGAGGGAAGGAGGTGGGGGGGCAGAGGGAGAGGGACAAGCAGACTCCCCACTGAGTGTGGAGCCCAAGGTGGGGTTGGATCCCAGGCCCCGAGATCATGACCTGAGCCAAAATCAAGAGTCAGATGCTTAACCTACTGTGCCATCCTGGCATCCCTCAATATAATTTCTTTTCTTGGATTTCATGACTGCACAGTCCTCTGCATTTCCTCATACCTTCTCCATTCTCATCATCTCTGTCCTCCTCATTGACTCCTCTTCCTCTAATGAGTGAAGACTTGGAGTTTTTCAAGTCTCTGTGCCCTATTCATGTCTCAATTTCATTTTCCTTAGGTGAACTCTTTCATTCACATCATTTAAATTCTATCTTTATAAAATCCCCAGATATGTATATATTTCCTAGATCTGCCCTTGGATCTTTAGACCAGATATTAAGAGCCTTCTCAACTCTTTGGACGTCCTATGGGCACACCAGATGTGATATGTCCCAACTACTACTTTGATCACTTACCACAAACGCTTTTCTCTTCAGTCTCCCCTTTGCTTCTCTGCCTTCCAACAGGTTGGTTAAGCCAAAACCTAAGTGTTCCCCTCACTGCCCCCTTTTTCCCTTACCTTGTACTACCTCCCAAGCTTAATTTGTTACCAAGTTCTCTTCTTGAATCTGTATCCGAAGTAACCACAATGCTGGAGGCTTCTCATCATTTTATGTTGGCATATCAAAGATGATGGCATCATTGTCTGTGTCCCTCCTTGAGGATAAATTTGGACCTGGGAAATTCTTGAACTTTTAAAGTCCCCTTTGGCTTTCTGAAATTTCCTTCGAGACGGTATCTACAGTTATTTCTTCCTCCGAGCTGCTCTCCACAGGAAAAAAAAAAAAAGATAGGTTTTAGGTTTTAACCTCCAAGACTCAGGCTAAATAAAATTTTCTCATGGAGCTGCTTTCCAAGTAGTTCCTCACTCTGTTCTGCATGCATGCTAGGGCTTGTTATATTATTCCCTGATACACTGCATCACACTTAAATTTTATTCTATGGCTGTTTATATGATTATTATGTAATATCCCTTTCCCTTTAGGGAGAAAATATGGTTGCTTTGTAATTGCAATACCTCACCAAGTGCCTGGTAAATAGAAAGTTCTGAATAAATATTTGCAGAAAACATGAATAAAGTAATATATATGCATATGCTTCTTTTCTTGAAGACCTAGATCTATGCCTTGTTCATTTCTGTGTCTCTTGCCTGCCACAGAAGAGTCCCTTATTGGGTCACTCAGTCTTACTCATTTAGCCGTCATTATAATTCAGATACCCACTGAGTTCCTCATATTTAAAAGCCCTGGCCTGACTGCCAGGGAAATAGATTTTAATTTCTGTTTTTATGGAGTTTAGGCTAAGCATTGATGGATACAGGTTGAATGAGTAAAACTTTTTTTCTTTTCATAATTTTCTTTTTATAATTTAAATAGCAGTTTGGTTGACAGTAAGAAGTTTCTAATAGCCTCTGTAAGGGGAGTTAATATTTGAGAGGAGGTTTTTTCCTTTGGCTTCGTAAGCAGTCCGAGGAGAAGGGAATTGGCTGGCATCTCGTTGCAGGAACTCTTTAGGTAATGATACCAGCAGTGATAACATTCAGATTTAGACCTGTCTCATGCCAAACCCCAGGCTCTTTGCCTTGATTTTTAAACATTTTTGACTGTATATCCGAGGCAAAAAATAAATTTTGTTTTATAGCCTACATATGTGTAGACAAATAAAATTGTTAAGAAACAAAACTTAGCCTTACTATATGGGATGACTCTTGGTGCCTTTTATTCTCTTCTGTCTCATAATTCACCAATTCTGACTTGCATTTTGAAAACCCTTAAGTATAGTAATATCCTGTGCCCTCATACAATCTTGCTTTCTTAATTGCTATGAAAGTAGGATAAAATTCTAGTTAGAGACTAGTCCTAAAACTGTAATAGGAAGTGGCTCTTTGAAGGCCGCAAGTTGAAGAGGACATGAAGAGAGACATCTGGCGGCAATTACAAGCCTGCCCTTTCACCTTTGATGTGACTCTGGTTAAATCCTCAACTACAAAAATGTGTGTCATGATATATTCATTTGGTGTGAAAAATAAATGTAGGAAAGCAAATAAATACTGTGCA